TCCTCTCCTTTCTATTCTCTCCACCTTCACTATAGTTTAGTTCTTTATTATCCTATATTTGGATTCTTTCCATAGTCCTCTATCTAGACCATCTACCACCAGTTTCATTCCCTTTCTAGATAACCAACACATGAGATTACTCTTTCTAATACATCACTTTGATCACATCACTTTTCTCCTTAATAGCTACTCACTTACTACTCAATAAAGTACAAACTTTTAAATTTAACATTTACTCTTTAAGGCCTAACTTGTGTCACCTGCATGTACCCAATTACCTTTTTTTAAAAAATATATACTACTCTTTGCTTACAATCACTTTCTATTTTTTTTCATGCTAATACTCTTATTACTCCCCGCTTACCTTTTGAGCAGATAAAATCCTATTTGTCCTTCAAAATTCACTCAAATGCCACCTCCGTTATAAATCTTTTCTGAATATTCTAAGCTCTATTACTATTATGACCTTACCACACAATGTACTTTTTATTACCATAATTATTTGTGTACATGACTTTTCCTTAAACTATATGGGCTAGTTTTATTTATCTTAATAACATGTGCTAACAGCAACTAAATAATTCATATACACCATAGTTGTTCAATATATATTTGGTGTTTTACAGATGAGTCTTTAGGAAAGTGGTTATAAAGTATTAACTGCTATACATAGTGAAAAATATGATATATATCATGATCCAGTATAAGTGAAATATTACTCAATCTTATCACATATAATTTACTTTGATATTTTCTATTCTACCTCATTTGTTAAAATGGTTGTTGCAATCTACTAAATTGATTTAACAAGAGCCCAAATTGTGAAGTCTACTTTAGGGAATTCACAGTATTCTCTCTGATTTTAAGATAATCCATTCATGATACGGTACTTGATTAGTCTGGTAAAATCATCATATTATGATAGACTATAATATGCTATTGCTAAGTTTAGAGTACTGCTAAATGTGGGCTCCAGCCTTGCCTTTTCTGTGTATAACTTTGTGCCAGCAGCAAGTGTAGTACTGTGTGAATTTTTTAATGTGGCAATGATGATTAGACTCATAGTAAGATAATTATATTTTTGGTTCTAAATGTCATATTCTTCCAAACCTAAAAGTTCTTTATCAAATTAACAAAAGCAGGACTGATTTATATTGACTCCACAATTCCTACTTATTATAAAAGATAGTATCTCAAGAAATCTTGTGAGTCAGACAAATAATGAGCAAAAGAAGCTAGTAACAAAAGAGTGCATACTCTATAATTCTATTTATTACAGATTTCAAGATCAGGCAAAAGTAAGTCAAAATATTGGTTCTAATGTAAAGCTAGGAGTGGCAGAGACTGTGAAGTTGGCATGAGGGAGCCTTTTGAGTGGTCAGATACATAAGAGAAATTCATCAAGTTGTATACCTTAGATTTTTGTACTTCATTCTGTGTGTGTTATATTTCAGTTAAAATATTTTCTAAAAATAAATTAAGAAAAAGACAAGCAATCTTTATCAGCCAAAAAAAAGAAAATATATGAGTAAAAGACATGCATCCCTAACAGAATGATTATAAACCCGAGGCTGTTGTTTGTGAAACTTAGATAGTTGACGGGGTAACCACAGTGGAATTTCCCTACCCTCATAGACTGTCAGCATCCTCAACTACGGATCAATTGATATACCTTGGATGAGGCAATATACAACTTTTTAACTCAAAAAAGTTGGGAATTACACTACAAAACAGTAAGTTATTTTTGGTGAGCCACTTGACAAGCTGTGATTTTTATAATGTTTTTCAAACTGGGGTACCTTACCCATTAGTGAATTA